AAGGAGTTTTATAGACTGGTCAGATATGTAATCCGATTGAGTGTTTAAAAACGCATCTTAAGTTAAAATTCAGTGCTATTTTTTGAGAGCTCTACAGGGGCGTAGCAAGGATTTTTTAATGGGGGGGGGGGGGGGGGGGTGGTGCAAAAAAAAAAATATTGTAGAAAATCAGTAAAACCTTCTCTATTCGATAATTAAATTTTGGCATATAAGGAACCCCCCCTCCCCCCTACGCCTTTGGTGCCCTAGCAGAGTTGGAGTAAGAGTTGTGGTTCTAGGAAGGGATTAATTATTGAAGATTTCGTAGAAATCTAATTTCATCAAAATCACAACTTAATTTTAATTTATTTATTCACTCCAGGCGCAGAACCAGGTGGGAATTGGGGAACAAATCCCCCGACGTTAACAGAAATTTCTTCATTTTGCTAGGAGTTTTATGAAAAAATCATAAAAATCCCCCCCTTCCCTCTGAATTTTTCATATAAATTTTTTTTGCCCCCCCTTCTTCAAATTCCTGTCTACGCCCCTGATTCACCCTTAATTTCTATTTCCATGGACACACAACTACTTTGTCCTCTCGCATTTTCCATGCAATTTAAGTACCTCTTTTTCAAATCATTAAAAGCATTTATCAATTTATAAAAGAAATATCAAACAGAGCATTTTTATAGTTCATGTAATAACTTCAAATTCCATTGTTGAAAAATAAAGTGGAAGAAAATCCTTTCGTTACCTCTTTCCTTTTCCTTGCATCTTCAATAACTTTCCGTTCACAAAATGATAATTCAAAGAAATTTCTGTTCTTTTTTTCATTTGAATCATTCAAGTGAATTTATTTCAATTATGTTTAATGAAAAGGATTTTCTTGTCATTATTAAGAGAAAGTAAAAAAAAATCTCATTTCTTTTCTTTTCCTTGTCGCTTCCGTAATCATTTTTTTTTTGTATGTTGAATGTTGGAAAAAAAGGCAAAGAAACAAATTCACTTCAAAAATTATATTGATGCGATTTGATGATAATAATGAAATGAAGGAGTGATGCAGGGAGCAAAGGATGCTGCATTTATGTTTGGAAAGATAAATAGAGTCAATGAAGGACTGGCTTGCATTCAAAAAGTTGTTGCGTCCTTTCAAAAATGATTTTCATATTTAATTTGGAGTTATGAGCATGTCAGGAACATAATTACGAAAGATGTACTATTAGTTGAACCTAAATAAGATTGCTAAAGTTCTCCGTGTAAATCGCTTGACTTTATGGAGACTTTATGGATGGCAAGAGATCACGAGAAAGACCGAAGATCTCGTGGATTGCATGTGTTGAAAAGGACGCTAGAGTCCTTAATATCCCGAACTGGCAGAAGTGTCTTCAGACGATCTCTAAGCGCGGCAATGGGCCCACGTGCGCCCCAGCCAAGGAAGTAAGTATTTAAGGGTATTTAAGTAGAATAAGATAAACATTTTATACAAAATTGAAAAAAAATTAATTTTCTGTTTTGGTAAACCCCCATTTCCGCCCCCCCCCCCTTTACCTCCAAAATGTAAAAAATCGTCAGCATGGTCAGAATCGTAGCTGAAGCAAGAAGTTGTTATTTTGGATCGTCAAAAAGGGGGGGCGGGGTCAATACCAACCTAACCACGCTAGTGACTGAGATTATGGCAGTCAAAATAGTTTCTTTCCAACATCAAAAACCATCAATTTCAACAAACAATCGCCCAAAACTTCATACTTCAGGCACTAGTAACATCAGCAAAAGAAAGTAAAACTTGTGAAGCTTTCCTTTACAAGATGACTAATATATAAAAAATAAAGAAGAATGAATGGATGGATAATAAAAAAGGAGAGCAGGAAGAAAAACGAAGAAAAATCGATTTGTGATCGAAAAAGGAAATGAAAATAAAAAGTTATTCTAATTTCTTCTCATTCGTACGACTTTTTATTACTACAAAAGAATTTGATTATATATATACACAATTCTATAGGAGCGAAAGAAAGTTGAATTAAGGAAGATAAGAATATCGTAGTTCCGCTACTCTCTTCTTATCATTGCCATTTACATTCCAAACTTTTTCCTTATTTTTATTTTATGGAAGTAAAAGTACATCAAATGAGTAACTTTGAGTATCCTTTCCTCAAATCATCATCATCAATATCATCATCGTCAGTCGTTGTCATGAAAAAGATGAGATACTTGTGAATGTATACATGAACTGCCGTACTTAGTCGCCTCTTGTTGTTCCATTCATTCAGTGAATGTGAAGAGATGAGGAAAGAAAATTGAAAATTCATAATATTAATAAAATTTTATCACTAATTTATGCTTCGTTGGAGGAATTTTGAGAGCATTATTTCGAGGGTCCTTGTGGGAATTTTTAGCAAAATTTGGTTGTTTTATCGGTAAACAGCTGAACGGGTAGAATAGCATCTGTGTGTTTTATTGAAAAAACTGAGAGCAGGGGGGGGGGGGGGGGTGTCAAAACTCTATTATGGCGGATAAATTTCATAAAATTTGTAATATACCTGGCTGTGACTGGGTTCCATGTAAAGGACACTAGCCCAACCCATTAGAGGCCGTTCACTTATGACGTCAGGGGTGGGGTCAGCAAGAAAAGAACAATAGAAATTCCTGGAAATCCATTGTTTTTTTTTGAAAAATGACCGTTAATTTCGGACGTCATAAGTGAACGACCCCTTAGTGTATCGTAAAAAAAATTCGAATAATTCCACAAATTCCAACGTATGTCGTGTGTAGTTTCGGTCATGCATTCCCCCCAAGATTTGTCACCGTCCACAAAAGGTTTCCCACTACTGTATTAGTGTCATAATGTGAACTGTGAATTATCTGTGACTACTAGCGGCGTAGTCCATTTATTGAGCAGACTTAAGCTAAGTAACATGGTAGGAAAATCAAAAATTCTCAAAACCAATAATGGCCAACCCGTGTGGCGAGTACTTCCAATTTTGTGGCTATCCAAGATGGCACATGCTGTATCTCGGGAACTTAGCATGACCGAATAGTTTGAATTGAAGACCTAAAATAACCTATATTAGGACAATATTCAGGCTAAGTTTCAGGTCGGTTGAATTTATCCTGTCGCATACTTCCAGGGCACACTAGTGTAAAAATTGGGATATCCCCCAAACCATATTCTGCGTGCGGTTTTGATCATGGCTTATTATCAGGTGTTCCGTGGCACAAAAAAGGTTGACCACCACTGCTCTGTACCATATTTATCATCCAACCAATCTTTCAACCAAACCACCATGACTAGCCATAATCCAACACAAATCTCCCAAAATAATTCCAAAGGAAGCAAAGAACATCGGACGGTATCAGTAAAGAACTGAATGACAACAACAATAGCATCCTGGAAAATGTTGCGGAGGCAGATGTTTGAAAACATATTAGAGGATTATACATACATTGTAAGGCAGGCGGCATCAACATCAGCCAACAAAGTATAACAACAAAATAAAAGACAGGAGGGAGAGAGTGAAAAGAATTGAAGGTTTATAGCATAAAAAAGCAATGAAAACTTTCGATATAAAAAAGTATAAAAGCACTTTTTCATGCTCACAAGCAGAGTTGCTGAAAAATATTATCTTTTACAGAATATAGATAGATAAAGTTGATGATTGGAATTCCTTCATTGCCTCAAAATGAATAAGGGTCTTTGAATGCAATTTTTCATTGCTGCAAAAATTGAGATTTGAACTGGATTTTCAAGTTTCAACCCTTACAAAAAAAAATTTTTTTTGCTCATCTTTTTTTCATGTGACTGAAAACAATAATTCGCAGAAATCTTTTCATCATAAGCGAAAAAATTTTTAAGTGAAAGTTAACCTTGCGTACGGGCAATAATCTAACCAATGAAGTGTTAAACTGAGGTGGATTTATTGCGAATTGAAAACTTTACCAATACCTCGCGTTCACGACGCCTCGTGTGTCGGGTACGCAATTTTTGACAGCTCGTAAAGAGCTACCTAATTTAATACATAAATAAATCATAAAGTAAGAAAAAATAAAGAGTCTTTGATAGGGTTTGTGATTGTGTGTCAATAGTCGTTGCCTGTTAACGGTCAAAGATCCAAAGAGATCATTTTTAGCGCATTTTTGAAACTTGTTTCTAAAAGGTAGCTTAATATCTCACTATGTCTGTTCGTTCGGGCGGAGAAAAACTTTTTAACTAGACATCGTAGGGAGTTCTAGTTTGTTTTATTAGCTCAGGTCCATTGTTTAATTTTCGGGAAACGCATTTAAAAGTCTTGAAACAGTGTTTTTGTACTATAATTAATGATATTTATATTTCATTTGAAAAAACACGTGATGAGAGCGTTTAGAAATTCGAATTTATTTCTACCGTTGAAAAATTTTTCATCTCAAAAAACCGTTAAATTACCAAGCCTTTTTATATGATTTTTTTTTTTTTGCAACAGACTGTTATTTATACTATAATTAATGCTTTTACTGTAATTTTTGGCAAAATACTTTCAAATGCATACGACCGTTACAAAATTAAAACTTCAGAAAACCGTTAAATGATAAACAATTTATATAGGAGAATGAAAGATATTAAATTGATAAATATACTATAATTAATGATTTTTTGTATATCTTTTAGCGGGAAGCTTTCAAAAACTTACTGACTGTTATAAAACTTGAATCTCAATTAATCGTTAAATAATAAACTTTTTATATATGGAAATTAATTGCTCCAAATTATTAATTATACTATAGTAATTGTTTTTGAAGTGCAACTTTTAGCGGGAAAATTTCAAATTATTTTTTAACCGTTAAATAACAAAGCCTTTCTATATAAGCATTCATTGTAATTATTTGCTAATTGCAATAAAATTAATGATATTCTAATCTTCTAATGATCTGTAAATGAACGCAAAATAAATTGATAATCAAATGCTGATCGCCAACACAAAAGTGCGCTTAAGTCCCTCGATCAATAACACGAGGATTTCTGTAATTTTTGAAAATTTAAATTCCAAATATCCGTTACTACAAGAAACACTTTATTTTTAATTTCAAATACTCAACAGCCGTTAAACATGTACTTTTCTAAATCTACGATTTTAGATTTCGGTTGAGGGGTTAAAAAACTTAAAGCTTTAGAAAGATCACCATCAAGATTTATCATAAGCTGAGTGAGCCAGTTATCTGAAATAGTTAAATAATTAATATCTAATAATTTTTATTTTAATCTCATTGATTTACCTTCATTAGAGAATCCAAATTTCATTAAAGTATAGACTGCTGTATTAATTTTAGGATTTGGATCGTAAGCAGTGACAACAGGCTCGTGTGATGTTGTTGGAGCTATTGGTGCTGTAGGCTGCTCATAATGATGTCCATTGACTTCAGAATCGATATCAGCAATAACTTCTGGATGTTCAATGGGAACTTCTTTTTCAGTGGCTGATTTATCCTGTTCATGTGGAGAGTCAATGTGTTGACTATTTTCAGACTTTACAACATCAATCGTGTCTATAGATTTGTGGATATTTTTGATGCTCTTCTGGTCAATGTCTGCAGATGCTTTCAATTTATGTTGATCAATTTCACGCCAACGAGATCTAAAAGTTCGGTTTTTATTCGAAATAGATTCAATTTGTGGAATTTCGTCATCAATGAAAGCCTGATGAAAACTTTTTGGAACTGCACCAGTTTTTGCATCTACATTTCTAGGAGTTGGTTCAGTGTTAAATTCATCTTGTGACAAAATTGTCCAGTCACGAGAATCGTCACTCAACACGGAACTATCGTCATGTATTTCAATTGATGATCCAAGTGATTCCATAGATTTTGATGGAGTTACTTCATTGAGAGTTGAGTCAAGATGATTAGATGAAGTCGTATCAACAATTGTCACATCGGACATAGCTGATTCATCAAGGTTTTTAAAAATTCTTTCAATTTGAGTCATTTCAGTGAAATTGGACGATGTTGATGGTTCCATTTTTGTGTTATTAACATTAGTCGATTCATTTCCTGCTTCCTTAAACCAATCATTAATTTCCTGATCAGGGTTGCAGTCAAGTAATCGACAATTAAACTTTGATTTATTTATTGTGTTAATAGGAACTTCAGCTTGTTGCTGTTGATCTGTAGAGTCAATTTTGGCACTGATGTCATTAACTTTTTCCACAAGTTGTGGAATCACAGCATTTGCCTCGTTTAAAGCTTTATATATGAAATCACAGAGTTGTAAGCATTTGACAATTTCATTCGAGATTCTGATTTGTTCATCACGGCATGTAACTTTTTCCAAGTTTCCATTGCTCTGGACTTCACTAATTATTGTAAGTTTAAAATATTATTACTATTTATAAGTTTAAGAGGAGGAGTTAGCATTTCTTACTCTTTGTTACAGTTGCAGACATGCTGCATTTCAACAAAACTTGATTCAATCGAAATTGACTCTTCTTGCTGCTGATCAGTCTTGGCAACATTGATAAAGATTTTTCGTCCTTTTCCCAATTGTAAGTAAACTTCAAAATGTTCTTCGCATGTTATCGATATCTCATCATTATCTGCGTCTACATAATTCAATTTAAAGCATTAAAGATTACAAAAAATTTCCATAGAAAAGCTAAGTTCAACATACCGATCCAGTGGATTTTCAAATTTGGAGAATTAGCTTTTGGATTACATTCAATGACACTCTGCTTAAACTTTAATAATTTACTATTAAAATGAAGTTTATCTAGAAGAGCCGAAGAAAATTAATTAATTTTATGGATGAAAACTTTAATTTAAGTTATTTTTTTTTTTAATTCACGAAGACAATAAAATTTTTCCACAATCAATGCCAGCTAGGCACGTATCCAATTGGGTCTTGTCCCCCCTTCAGCGTTTTGAGTCTTGCTCTTCCTGTGATTCAAAACGCTTAAGGGATAGACAAGACCCCACTTGCTACGCACCTAGCATAATGCTAGCTTTCAATAATTATTTTTCAATCTGAAAAAATTTAGGACGCTATAAATGCACGACCTAGCTATGCTTTTTAAGTTAATCTAAAGTTCTTAAACATCCCGACTTACTGATATCATGTCTTATGTAAAAGTTCTCGATACAATTGTCAATCGACAGGCAAATTTTAATAGTTTGATAACTCATTATAAGTTTTGTTGATTTACTTTTTTTCGTCTGTTCTTAATGAAGCTTGAAAATTGACTGAAAACTCTTTTTACTAAAAAATCACAAGCAAAAACTTTCAGAAACTTTCTTATTGTGATCATAAACTTTTCAAAATTCACGGTTATTTTTAGTGCATTTTCTTCAGGAAATAATGCACCTAAAGATCCACTTTAGCTGGCTGGCTGCCTCAAAAACTCGGAACTGGAAGTACTTAGAAACTTCTAGTTTTTTGCATTCGATAGCTGTAATATGCTAATCTGGGCGTATACATATTTATTTTTCTTACATTCAACTGGATCATGTTTTTAAACCTCGAACATGACTTAATTGCTAAGTTCATTTTTACTGATCTATGCGAAGAAAATGCGCTTTGTTTGTTCGTTCACATCAGTAACGGCGGTTTCTGTAATAGTTTTTTTTAAAGTTTCAGAACGTCCCCTTGAATTTGCATGTGAAAATATTTTTTTGACATATCGTCACATATTGCAACACTGCTCACATCTACAGATTATTGTTTCAGTGTAGAACAAAAGTTTTTAAGGTGCAATAAAGCGAAATTATAGCGAGACGAGGAAGCCTCTGGCAATAACAAAGTAAAGTAGAAAAGAAGAGTCAAAATGAATATTTGCGTGCAGCTAGTTGTAAATAACACTTAATTAAAATTAAGACTCATAGATGTTGATTAAGGAATTAAAATTTATGAATGATTTGATATTTTCGTGAGGTTTTCAAGCCTGATTGAATGAAGACATTAAAGATTTTGTTTTAGTTTCTTTGGTTTATAAAGCTGAAGCAACTTGGTGCTTTAAAGAAAACACAGGCTAGCTCTTTCATTAAGTTTAACAAGCAAGTAAGTCATGAATTTTGTTTAAGTAAAATTTACAAGCTACTTTTATTTGAATTAATATTTTTATGTATTTTATTTATTTGGGCCGATCCTAGAAGTACTGCAATACTAGGCCAACCCGGACAGAACAGAAGCAAGCTTCTTTGTTTCCGTCATTTTCCAAAAATCAGTTTAACATTTGTTTGTTCTGCTATGCAGAAACTACCAGATGTTAAGCTGATAAGAACAGATACTACACTTTGATCTTAGCCATTACAGCCGAGAAGCGATAACTTTTCAATGCAACTTATGATGGATATATATTATTCATTTCTGCGAGCACTTGTGAAGTATATGCCGAAAAACTAAATTTGTATGAAAACCTTACAAATTTTTATTTCGAGTAGTAATTATAAATTCTTTTTTGAGTGATGTAAGGTTTTCGAAAAATCATTGATTTAATTTTAAGTCAGGTAGACAGATTTAAGAGCGTAGCTAGCGAAGGCGAACGGTTTTTAGGGTCAACCCCAATTTCTGTTTGGAAACTTTTCTTGATTTATTTTGACTATGAAGCATTGAATTCTCACCTCTTTAAGACTGTTTAAGAATTCCGATCGATACAAAACTTCATAAAAAAAAACTACATCCACAAAAACTCCAATTTAATCAACCTCAAAATCTACTATTTTACGACCATCCATTCTTAAGTCAACCTGATTTACCTTTTCACCATAAAAATGTCTTTTACTTTAAGGCTTACACAAAAAAAAAATGCACAAGAAAAGAAGAAAATCCATCAACATAACAACAAAAAATGCTCTCCTTTCTCATAGTCATATTCAATACATCGTACACAACAATATGCTGGTACTGATATGAAACCGGTATATTCTGCCTTTTTATCTCCACACAATGAGCTATTGAAGATGCCTTCTTTTATTTGTTTTCTACTTTCATATCAAATGTGCGTATAAAGCAGAGCATTAAATCTATCTATACAGATGAATTGAAGGATGCTTTCTCATAAAAAAAGGAAATGAAAATGAAAGAGGATGTAGAAATGAGGACAAAATTGTAATCAGAGGGATTCTTGAATGTTCAATCGTCATTCATTAATGAATTCTTAGAAGAGATTTTTACTTCCAACTTTATGTGTGTCTTTTCTGGTTAAGTTTTGCAGATTTTTGGGGACATTTTTTGATTGATGTAGAAAGAATGAATTGATTGGAATTGATTAAGGAGATTAAAAGGTATTATCAATACCAATACTTAATAGAAAATTAAATTTGGTAATAGTATAATTTATTTTATAATTTATGTTTCAAAGATTTAACAATTTTGACTAAAGTTAACTTAATTAATTTAATTTATATCTTTTATAATATTTTCTAAAGCTAGTTGATGTTTATATTCATCTTTAATACCTTTATTATTTAAGTAATTCATTTGATCGTCTTTTTTATCTAAAATATTTATAATTTTATTCCAAGATAGATTAACAATTTCTTTGGTGTTAAAATTTAAAGCGATACTAAAGAAATGAAATTCATTTTTATCAAAACTATTAATAAATTCAATTTTTTCTAAACTATTAAAATATTTATCGATAATTTTCCAAATGATTTCATGAAATTTTATAGATTTGTTATACATACAAGCGGAATGCAATAAATTAAGTTTTTCAAAGTTTTCATTTGTCATTAGTTTTACAATCTCATTCCGTGAAAACATTCTTTCCAATTCTTCACGAATAAAATTAAAAATTTCAATTGTTGTGTAACATGCAGCAAGATTACAAATATTATTGCCATATTCATCAATTTGGAGAAGAATCTCAAAAAATTCATTTGATGATTTGCATAAATTTGAAAAGGTTTTCCATAAAAGTTCAACTACTTTTAATTTTTTAGAAATTATAGCTTTTTGAAGTAAGCTTCTTTTCCAGCTGTCTTTCAAATTCAATATTTCTTGCAATTGGGAATCATTCAAGTTTTCTTTAAGAATTTTTAAAGTCTGTTCAATTACGTTGGAGTTATTAAAAGAAACCAAAAGATGCAAATAAGGCTCATCATTTTTATATTTATCAGCAAGTAAATTTTTCAATTTTTCATGATTTTTATAGTTTTTAAAAAGATGATTCCACAAGATTTCATGATTTTTAAAATTATTGTCTGACATGAAGACTTTCAAGTCGCTGATGGATTTAATTATCAATTTATGTTCATCAACCAAAGCAAATTTAAACAAGCATGAATAACTACTGTCAATCCATTTTAATTTTAAAATTTCTTTCTCGTCTTCTTTAATATCGTTAGATTTTGAAATATTTTTGATAATAGTATCACACTGGTTCAATTGCTTAATGCTTAATTCGTTTAATGAAGAATCACATTTTTGCAAAATTTTAAAAGTTTCTTGCCATGTTAATTTAATAACATCATTACTATTTAACTCAATTGCAACTAAAAGTAAACTATTTCCACGTGCATCGATATGCTTTACAAACTGTAAAATTTCAAAAGAGTTAAAGTAATTGTGAAGCTGCTCCCATAAATATTTATGAAGGTCTAACGATCTATTACGCTTAGATGCTATTTGAAGTATATTTTGATTCCAAACAGTCAGTTTACAAAACATACTTTTAATTTCGTCCTTTGAAGTGAGATTTTTTAATTCTTCAATTATAAATTCAAAGTTTTCTTTTGATCCAAAAGATGCACAGAGATTTAAAATATTATTGTCTGTTTCATTGCCTTGCCGTATTATATTTAGAAATTCGTCTGTTGTCAAACATGTTTCCTTAAATATTGCCCACAAAAATTTATATATTTTTTGGTCTTTAGACAAAAGAGCTGTTCTTTGAAATAAATGCCTGTTATTTTGACCTTTTGATCTTACTATTTCATTATATTGACTGGTATTTAAAATTTCCTTTAAAGTTTTAAAAGTGTATTCAATAATTTCCAACTTCTGAGCTTTTACAAGAGTTATAAGAAATTGATCTCCAAATAAATCCTTTTCAGACAAAAGATTTATTAATTTTGAACGATCCTCAAATGTTTTAACTAAATGTTGCCACAAATTTTTATGACTTTCAAGGCTTTCGTTTGATGTAAATGACATTAATGTTTTTATTGTTACCGTTTCATTCAATTGATAATATTTTTCAAATAAACCAGTTGTTTTGTTATTTTTCAACCATTTAAACTTTAAAATTTCTTTTTCTTCTCCTTTAACATTATTTGATGGTACAAAATTACTTATAATCGCATCACAAAGATTTAATTTACTATTTTCTTCTGCAGTCAATGCAAAATTTTCTTTTATAAAATTTGAAATCTGATACCAAGTAAAACTAGATATTTCTTTTGTATTTTTTGAAAGTGTAACAATTAACATATTATTTCCATATTTGTTGCGATGGGTAATAATCTCCATAATCTCAGTAGAATTAAAGCGCTTCCGCATAATGATCCATAATGTTTTACAAAATTCAAGTGATTTGTTGCTGTTTTTTTTAGATATAAGCTGAAACATACTTCTCATATTAATATTCAAATTACAATATAACCTTTTGATCTCATCGTTTGATGCAATTTTGTCTAATTCCTCATCTATGAACACCAAAATATCTTTAGTAGTAAAACTTGAAGCAATATTTAAAATATTATTATCGCTTTCGTCTGTTTCTTCGAGAATTTTCCAAAACTCGTCAGATGATTTACATGAATCCTTAAAGATTTTCCATAAAAATTTATGAGTTTGAATCTCTTTTGAACAACCTGCTGCGACTTGAAGTAAGTTTCTATTTTTTGCTCCTTTCGAATATAAAATTTCAAGATATTGTTCTTCATTTAAATTGTTTTTCAAAATTGTTAAAACCATCTCAATTATACATGCATTGCTAGTAGTTATCAGAGAGTGAACAAAATTATCCGAATTTTGATCTTTTTGAATTATTAACTGTTTTAACTCTTCTAAAGTTAAAATTTCTTTTGACAGCAAATGATTCCATAATAGTTCATGGAATTCAATACTTTGACAGTTTACACTAATATGTAATATATTTTTTTGCTCATCAGATTTTTGAGTACAAAGATCTTTAAAATCTTGCAGTGAATTATGTTTGCTAAAATATATTTTTAATGTTTGCCACAGAAAAACCAGTTTGTCGTTATCATTTGAATTTATAACAGCATGTAATATATTCCATCCTTTATTATTGCATTGTTTCATCAAATCAATCAAATCATCGTCACAAATGG